TTCAGCAATGAGTTTTCTGGCTGCGACACAGTTTCTGGCACTGTCTGTAATAATCTGAACAATGTTGTCAGCTCCTACCTTTTCTATCTGCTCACAAAACTTGCTAGTGATGTATGAAGCATCTTTGATTTCACCTGAGGTATCACATGCTCCCAAAAACACAACCCCTTCTGGTGTTACAGATAGAAAGTTGATTATTGGCCTGTTTTGGACATTAGACCAACCATCACTTACCATAGTGAGTCCTGTGTTCAGTGTCTGACAAATGACTATTAACACGAAGAGCAACAGATTGGACTTCCTCATCTAGCAAATTTGTTGATATGGCCTTTCTGCTCGGAGGAACGTAACTAGCACCGCACTGTGCTACAGATGTGCAAGCATCTTTAAAGTATTTACTGTCTGCAAGATTAAAAGGTAATCCATTAGCGTAAAACATTCTAGCAACTGCTCTATCTGCAACATTTTTTGCACACTTCTTCATCATGTCTGGCAACATTGATTGCTTACCAAAGCTGATATTATTTGATTTTGAAGAAGTTGATGATGTAGTAAAAGTAGATGATGTTATTTGATTTAATCTGACCAGCTGCTGTTTTTTCTTCTGATCTTCTTGGCGCTTGCTTTCAATTTCCAAAAATTTGGAGGCAACAATGTCAGGAACCTTACTACATTTCTTCAGACCAATTTTTTTATCTCCAATCAGATGACCACGAATTCGTAATGCACCTCCAACAAATTTTCTGTCACAATATATACATTGAATGGTTGGCAAGTTATCCGGTTTGTCATCACTGTCATCACTAACGCAAATTACATGTTGCCATTCAGGCCCTTTTTCCTTTGGCATGATCAAATTTGAAAAGTTTATCAACGATTTTCAGCCTTTAATTATAAATAACTTACGTACGCGTACAAACAGGATACAAATATAACAAACAATCTATCGCTCACAAAAACATTAGATAGTCAGGCACTAGATAAAATAGAATAAAAAGAATTATACAGTGAGAATGACCTAGTTTTTAATGTCGCTTAGGAGAGCATAGATATTATGTCATCAACGGTGGAGTTAATTTGCATCTTAATAAACTTGATTCAATATTTTTAAACATCAAGAAAGGCAATAACATGATAATAACGACGTTATTAAAACAAAGTTTATTGCTATTTAAATGTTTAAATAATTTGACTTTGGAGGCGAATTTTTGCAGCGATCATTTCATAGATATTATAATTATAATATCTATGTTTAAACTTGAACTTTTTGAACTTTATGGCCGAAGAATAAAGTTCAAAAAGTTCAAGACAATAATAAAGTTCAAAAAGTTCGAACGTCACAACTATGGTTGGTGGAGGTGGAGGAGCAGCAACCACCCCAAGATGATGTGTTGAAACGTGTGACCTATAAATGTGAGTGATGTCCAGGTTTACATTAATCCCATATATCCTGTACAGGTTGTGACCTTGGTGGGTGGGACACCAGAATATAGGGTGTAGACCTGTTTGAAGGATGGAATGATGGTCGAGCTGATTGAAGTCACCCCCCAATGAAAAGTTTTGAGTCGCTCCCCACGCAGTGTTAGAGAGTTCATCGATGTAACCCATCATGGTGGAGACTTCGTATGATGGATAACTTGGTGAATGATAGATGGCGCAGAAGAAGTATGGTTCACTGTCAATAATGCACTTGATACAAAGGGTTTCCAGTGCGTTATTGATAGCATGACGCGAAACGATGTGAATTTGAGATGAATAAGATGGATGACTTCAAATAGATAACAACGTCTCCTCAACGCCGCCTGCCAGGACGGTCTTTTCTGAGTGTGTAGCCATCTATTGCGATCAAACCATCAGGGTGGGTGATGACGTGGGGTGATTTTGACTGGGTTGTAAGTCTGGGTAAATTTGATGTTGATGAGATTTGGATAATTAGGTGAGAAGCTTCGACTGGGGTGGTTGCTTCTTTTACTGGTTGATGAAACTACTACTGGTATTGCTGACGATGAATTAGTACTAGGTAGATGGCCCGGGGTGTTGATTTTGAAGTTGTTGTAGAGTGCTGTAGCGATTGAAGAAAAGAGGACAGGTGTTGATGTTGGTGATGATCTGGGTTCAAAATTTTGTTGAGGAAAAGAGTTTTTCTTAGCGGTCTTTTGATGGCGAATTTGTCGGGTAGATAATCAAGCAGTTGTTGGCGTGTGTGTTGGATCATTCGATTGAGGATGGGAGCAATAATTAGTAACGAGTGAAGTGATAAAAACGGATGAGAAAAAAATAAAATTAATAAAACAGAAAACTAGAAACTTAGTGAAAAAATTGAAATTAGCTAAAAATAAAGTGAAATTGTTATTTAAATTAAATTAGAATAAAAAAAACAGTTGAAATTTGAAATTAAAATTGGTTACTATGACGACGATGATAAAAATTTGTTGAATTCATAATAAATTATTAAACGAAATACAGCAACGAAAATTTTCGCAAATTTTAAAAAAGTTGTCAGAAAAAATTAATTATTGTTTTATTGAAGAAAAATGAGCAAAAACTTTAGTTTATAAAGGAAAATTTAGAGATTGAAAATCCACAACACGATGCCGTGTAAACCATAAACATCGCAGACGTAGAATCATGTTCTAAGCGTCTAGAAATGTTAGAAGTAAATAAATATATAAAAACATACGATAATTTTATGAACAAAACTATGAGATTCACCGTTCAGAACACATTCTAAATCAACAAATAAATAATCTTCAGCTATAATGTTACCCTTGAATGTATTGTATATGTTACATCCATTTTAGTTTTCAAACAAATGACAAATTGCTTACCACCATATTTTAAGCATTATTACATAAATAGTCAGTTGTTCAGCCAGGTTTATTAATTACTTGTTACAGAACCTGGTTTACCTTTAATGATTTAAAAATGGCTGTATCATGTCTTAATGGGTACTTAAGTTTTATTTCATAAAACGATTGCACGTAAAAGATATTTTTTGTTTATATTTATAATTCTGAACAAATTTTGTCAATAATTATTTATGATTGGCAATGTTTATTATTATGTTATAAAATGTTGAACTTCTAGTTTGAATATTTTTGGAAAAGTTGGCTAAGCTCAATAAAACGGAAAGCTTTATCTTGTAACAATTATTAATTTTATTTAATCGTTATTTCTTTTTCTATAACACGCTTCAATACATAGAAAGCTATGTCGACACTTGGCTGGCTTTGCCTGAGTTTTTCTATTAAATTAACCCTTAAACACCGAAGAAAAAAAACGTTGAAGTCGTTATGGGTCGAATTGACCCACGGTACATAAAAATCGTTTTTTTGCCACAAAAAATTAATAAAAATATTCTTAATTACAAACAAATTAAATTTAGCAACAACTTTAAACAATAAGTTATTAAAAATTTTAAAAAATTACTTTTAAAACGTTAAAGATTTAAATACTTAAATTTCCTTTTCGCGGCAGGATATGTTAAACTTGTTTATATCAATCATACATTTTTCTCTCTGTATCAAATTAAAAATAAATATGATTATTCTCGTCGCGTTTTTGCTCAAGAAGCTTTAGATATTATCCTTGATGATGATAATGATGATGATGAAAAAAGTGGAATTGAAAGTCTGGGTAGCCTCTCTGATGCTGAATATAAAAATAATGAAAATGTAGATTCAATGCCCAGTTTGTCATCAACATCAATCAGGTCTGTTGAATATGACTTAGAAGAGAAATTTCATGCTGGAAAGTTTGCAGATGAGGAAAAAAATGGAAATAACAGAAATGATGATGACATCCTGGCTTGTAATTTTTGTGAGGATGATTCTAATAGTGGTTCATGTTTGATGACAACTGATATGGAAAGGCATGTATATGAATGTATTGATTCGGTAATTGAAAGGATTTGTGGAGCATATATAAGTGCAGACGGCACTGTGTGGAATTCTAAGCCTTATTTGACTGGGAGAAGACAGTCTGTGAATGTAATGAAAGCAGCTGGAGGACTGAGTGCTTACGGACGTCGTCATTGCACCACTGCTCTCTCTATTTAGCAGATTTTCATTGACAATTCTCTGATCGATATAATTGTTGATTGCACTAACGATAAAGCTGTTAGTTTGGGTGCCAATTTTGTTACGAACAGAGAGGAAACCAACACTTTCATAGGTGTAAATATTTTAGTTGAAATATATAAAGGGAAAGGAGAACCCGTGCGTGCACTTTGGTCAAAGTCAGAAGGCCGACAATGCATCAGACAATTTATGTCAAGGACTAGATTTGAAGAAATGACAAATGCACATTCTGAACAAATGCACATCTGTGCAAAACAATTCAATTTTGTTAATCATTCATGAGTGGAATAGCACTTTTAGCAATTTTATCGCACAGTATGAACGGTCAGCGGAGCAAGTTGTCAATTAACGTGATGGCGATCTCAAGAATCTACTCCACACGGATGAAAGAGTCGGGAATATTTTTTAAAACGTCAAGAAAGCTAAATGATGAAGTTTAGCAGTTATTTTATTTTGATATTTAATGTAATTCGATAAAATTTGATAGAATGTATTATTTTTTAGATTTATAAAATGCCTTAAGATTTCAAAAGTTATGAAAATGTTTTAGTTTCACAAAGAATGTTTAAATTATAAAACTATATATTTCTTCATTTCACAGCTTGGTTGGCAACGCACCTCTTTGTTTTCCATCCTTCTGGACCTGCCTTTTGCTTATTTATTTTACGTTCATTTGGTTTTATCACGTTGTCCTTAAATTTGAAGATGGTTCACCCTACATTAACGTCTCCAACGCAGATTTCTTGTTTAAACCTAAACAATTGATTAAATGCCTACCGAATTATTAACGTTTGTTGGTGTGCAAATCACAAATAATAATTGATACTATAAAATTGCCTTCATCGTTTATCAATTTGTAATTCAATCAGATAAAAACGAGTTATCACGTTAAAAATGGCTATAAAACAAATCTTAATACAGGTAGGAAGAATGTTAACTAACATGAATGCAAACAGGTCTGAATTTCAACAAAGATTAGATTCAGTCAAACGTTATATGGAAGTCAGAAAGGTTAACAAAGAATTAGAAAAAAAAGTAGTCAAATGGTTTGATTATTTGTGGAATCATAATCACTCTTTAGGTTGCATTAAGTTTCCATTAATTATATCTTTTATGTAGAATAAATTATTTATGTTTCCATTAATACATGTTTTGATAATTAATAAATAAATAGAAATAAATAATGGGCTTAAACGTAAGTTATATATGCCCATATCAAAATATCATTAAAAGACAACATAAAGCAATCAAACAACAATGTCAATTTTATGATCATAGAAAAAATCTTTGTTGGCCATATATAGCCTAAGTCAAAATTCCTTTTGAAGTTGGAAACAGTATCGTTTTCAAAATTAATATTTTAAATGATGTTTTGAAGAAATTTAATTAAGTTTAGTCATTGTTCTAAGTGCAGAAATGTGTATAATATGACGTTGATCTAAAATTGAATTAATTCATTGAATAATTAACTAACAATTAGATGGAGAAGCAGCTTTAAATATTCTGCCAAGTAAATTAAAAGCGGAAATAGCAATAAACGTCCATTTAGGGAGTCTTAAAAGAGTTGCTATATTTAAAGAATGTGAAATTGGTCTTTTAGTCGAACTTGTTCTCAAACTGAAACAAACAGTTTTCAGTCCTGGTGATTACGTATGCCGAAAAGTATGTCAACCAATGTTTTAAAAAAGTAATTTTATATTTAAAATTTCATCTTGAAATTTTAAAGGGAGATATAGGCAAAGAATTGTATATTATTAAAAATGGAAAGCTGCAAGTAGTCGGCGATGATGAATCTACTGTTTACGCGACTCTAGGTGAAGGGACTGTTTTCGGTGAAATAAGTGTACTCAACATAGCAGGTAATTTAAAATATTTATAAAGCTTTTAAATAAACATTTATTATTTAGCCATATTTCAGTTTTTCCTGCAGTGGCTTAAATGATATTTGAGAAATAGATTTCTCAATATTTCTGTAAAAATTAACATAACATCAGTACGGGAGTTTATCTAAGACTCCATTCTTGGACTTTTGTTGTTCATTATTTATATTATTGACTTGAGTTTTTGTTCTGCCAAATTAAAATTGTGTAACGTATGCTAAAAATTCTACCGTTTTGTATAAATCTTTAAGAAAATAAGCTCTAATTGCCATTATGTCATCTACTTTTTGCTACCACCGATCAAAATCACGTCGCACAACCTAAGTCAACGCAAACACAACTGCTTAGTCACCGGTGTATTCAACATACCAAATTAAAACAATTATTCATAGACACCAGCCAGACACACTTAACAACCTACTTTATATAAATTACATTTAACATCCATTACTTTTAACGTTGCTCTATTTTCATTTGATTGTATTTTTCATTTTATTACTACTTTTTAACTACAATCTATAATAATTTTTTTCATTTATTTTATTTATTTTTTCCATTCCACTTATTATACAATTTTTAAATAATTAATTCATACAATAAAATACTTAGTATTTTCAATAAAAATACTTAGTATTTTCAATAAAAGACTTAGTATTTTATTATTCTAATCTACCATTCTATTTACTTTGTCATTAATAGTTTTTTTTATCTATTCTGTTTTTTTAGATTTGTTTTTATCAACCAACTAGTATTTTTATTATAGCCTTTATCTTATTACCACATATTCTTTTCCTATATCCATATTTATTCTAGCATTTTTTTCATTCGAACTCAAAAGTATAATAAAATAAGATACAGGATGGCTGTATGGAGACATTTTGGAGTCAAATTAATTTCATATTGTTTCTCGTTACGTAATTATTTACATTAATTTGTTTCTTATTTTGGATGTCTCATACCTTACACGTGGTTACATCCCCTTTGTTTAAAATAGTTTGATTTACAGAATGAAAATAATAATAAAAATAAAATTTAAAACTGATAATTCAGGAAACAAGAATGGAAATAGAAGAACAGCCAATATTCGAAGTTTAGGTTACTCTGACCTGTTTGTTTTGTCGAAAGAAGAGCTCTGGCAATCACTTGAGGAATATCCAGATGCAAGAAGTATGCTTATTGAAAAGGGAAGGCAAATGCTTAGAAAAGATAATTTGTTAAACGATGAGGTTTTCTTATTTTTATTCATTTAATAGATATCTTCATTTAACTGTTCATTTAATTATAAAGGACACAAAAAAACAAGACTTGAATTACGCTAGTACAGAAAGAAAACTAGAGAATTTAGAAAATATATTTCAAACTGTCAGCTGTCGATTAAGCACACTGGTGCAAGAAGCATGTATGATGGAAGATGAGTTGAGTACCAAACTGTTAAACACTGAATTTAAACTGAATTTGGCGTTAAAAAATATTAAAAAAGATTCTTAGGAGCAAATCAACATAAAAACATTTCTATGGTATCAATAATATTTATAAATATTTCATTTATTACAAATTGATTAAAATATGACAGCATTGTATTACAAAGTTCCAATAGTTAAAAAATTGAAACAGAATAAGTTTTAAAATAAAAAAAAACTTATTCATTAATTAACAAAACTTTCATCCTCTAAAACTGTTAAAGCTGGATAAAGTTCTGAAACTAATGTCATTCTTGGATTTATAAATTTTCTTTTTTTCATTGGTTCTGTCATCACAGTCGGTAGCCTTAAATGTTCTGAAAAATTATCCAACATCATTTTCAAAATTACATTTTAAAAAAACTTGTGTTTCAAAAATTTCAGTAATGATTTGTTAAATTTATGAAAAAGAAATTTGCACATAATTTTACAATAGAATATATTATTTTTTAACAAACCATTTTTTGAAATATAATCAAATATATCATCAATATTGTTATTGCTGGGATTTTGATTCCATGTGTTACTATTAGCTTCATCGAATGAGTTTGTTGGGGCGCTGAATGATGAATTAACTCTTTTAACATGGATTGAAGTGGTGTCATTTTTGAATGCAAATTGTTGTTTCGAATTGTTTGCTGATGTAAAAGAGTTGTTTAATAAGCTGAACTTTTTTCGAAACGTTGAAGTGTCGTTATCATCAGAGTTTGACTCATTTGATTGAATGTTAAAAGACGATTGGTAGAAGAAAGGAGGAGACTGGATATTTGCGGCTGCTTCAACTTTATTTTGACTTTTGATGTCATTAACAGGTAGTCTGTGTTTGGTATCGATTCGTTCATTATAATTGTATAGTTTCGCACGCTCAGTCGGAGCCAACCATTTGTATTCTTTTTCATGTAAAGAAGCTTTTCCTGCTTTTTAAAATATTTGGAGATTTATGTTTTAGAATTACGTTTTATTATGCGATAATGTACCTTCAACCCTGTTTTTCAGTAGGATAGGATCACGTAAACATTCCGAAGTCTTTGGGTAAAATAATTATATAAACAATTTGAATTTTCTAATTAATGTAAATCAATTGTTGTAAAATTCAAATCCTTTATTTCTTATTTCCATTTTTTCTATTTTGTTTTAAGTTAAATTACTCTCTTGCTTCAAACTATCCAAAACTATAGAAAAGCGACTTAATGATTTAGCTCAAGTAGTAAAACTAACATAATTAATATTTTATTTTAACTATAGATCTGTTCTAAATTTCTGAACAAAATCACATATTTGTACGCCCGATATAAAGAGCTACGGTTTATGCAAAAAAATAAAAGTAATTTTTGATAAAAAATATGAATTTAATTAATTAATTTATTTATTCATGTGAATTTGTTATGAATAAAAATAAAAAGGATACACAAAAGGGTGCAGCTCTCAACTAGTGTGTGTACTGTCGGATTGAAAAATCCTAGTGAGTAAAACTAACAATCCTCAATAATGAATGTAAATACCACGAGCTAACTAAGTGATTTGTGTGGGCTATATAAGAAACTGCGAAAACTATTCCGATGAGTATTCGGGCTGCTATCCAAACGAATACTATTCTTTTCTTCCCCCGTTCACTGCTCTTTATGGTTTGGTGTTCTCAAACATAAGCGCAACCGCAACAAATCTAACTATACAGTCTAACTTTGGATAAGCTATTGTTTCTTCAGTCTAGGATTATACTTGCTTTTCTGAAGTTTTTTCACACGAGGCGCTAGACAGTTTAATATTAAACTAACAATATAGGACTATGAAATTTTTTAAAGTCAGAATAATATAACAGACTAACAATATAGGACTATGAAATTTTTTAAAGTCAGAATTGAATTTACTGAATTGAATTGTTTTTTTAAATTATAAATTTCATTTTAGCAAGTGTGTATAGTACATATTACGTGTTTGATTTTTTTTCATAAAATGTTTTTTTAATTAGAATGTGCTACTGGCTTTCATGAACTTTACTTTTATTTACTTTATCTTACTTTACCTTACTTTACACCGAATGCTGAGTCAGTCTTGATTCTACTAAATGGTAGGGTTGTCGGAGCAATATATCTAAATTAAACTTATTAATTGGAAGTTAATTGTACTTTTTATACTAATATCATACAAGAGTTTGCTTACTCATAAGTAAATTTACAGTTTACTTTCTATATTTCGACCATCTTGTTATCATTTTAGATTGGCTGTTCTTGATTTTAAAAGATTTTTATTGATTTGTTTAATTTACTTATTTATAAATGTTTGATATGATAATTACTAATAAAAGTCATAGTATGATTATAAAGTTTATTCATGGTATTGGGGCAAGGTGTGGCATTAAGATTTACCTGGATGGTGATTGTAGACTGACAGACTGTTATGGTTTAACTAAAATCTTATGTTTTTAATCATTTAATGAAATCTTTTAATTGAATGGTTTCAACAGCGATTGACATAAACTTATGGTTAACGCCACAGATTTTGGAGCATTGGCCATAGTAAATTCCTGGTAATAGTACCATGAATGTTGCTTTTATTTTTGTTTGAGTTGTTTTGAAGTAATAACTAAATTACATGGCTGGTGTGTGTTAAAGTGTTAATGCTGATTCAGAATTCTTACCTGTCAAAAAGTGAATATAAAAATAATTTGGAAATGTTTAGTTACTTTTTTTTAGTTTAGTTAACTACTTTCAAAAATATGTTTACAACTAATAGTTAAACTACTTATTTATAGCCGAAAAAATTTAACTACAAATATTTAGCAGTTAACTAGTTGCCCATCACTGTCTTTCAGACCCACTGTCGTTATATTACTAATTTTCAGCCTTTATGCCCCATCATTCAATCATGTTATAATTTTTATCTCATTTTCAAATAATTTTTTGGTAAAATGTTTTAATATTTTTTATATTCAGCCAGTCATTCATTTTACTTACCACAGTTCTATTTTTACCATGTGCCTTCAAAAACTGATATCATTTTGCAAATATACGTACATCTTGAAAGAATCGTTTTATGTATTTTCTAATACTTCCTTACTCTTAAATTATTAAATAAATTGTAATGTAAAAAAATTTTAAGTTGAAATTTATTCAAATGTACTAAGAATGAACTAATTTTTATACGGAAATAATGTAATCACGTTGTAAATAATAAATATGCTTTGAAAAATAAGTGTGGACAACAATGTAAACATTTTTTTACAAATCAAGAAAAAATTTTGATGTTTCGATGTATAGGTTGGGCATGCCCACTTTCTTATTTTCGCTGCATATTTGAAATGCGATAATATAATTCAAATAAAAAATAGTTATTTTGTCATTTTTAATAAATTGAAATAAAAGCGTTTTCTTGAAATTTAAAAATTTATTAATTCATATAATCAAATTCAAATTTTACAACCAAATCTCTCACCTTCTCAATATCCTGCATCTTGTGAACAACATTATTTTCTAACACGAGGTTACCTGAACTGCAACTGCTGACAGGATAATTGTAAGGATGGAGTTTCATCGTCTCTGGCTCTAGGTTACAAATGACTGTTCCTCCCTTGCCATCATCTAGTTTCACAATTTCTCGTTTTTTTCGAACATCGTGAGATTTTTTTTCAAACAGGAAATTTATTGCAGCACATTCATTACAATGGCTAAACGATAGACATTTACCAAATTGCAACAGAAATAGGACGAGAATCAGAACAATGAATACAAGTATTGTTCCTAAAACTAACCAAGGCCATAAATTTTCCATCGTCATATTTTTTTGAGCGTTCGTAAAATCTGATAGCATATTAGCACTATTATTAACATTTATATTTGAAAGTTCTTTCAAAGAACCCCACCATGATGACATTTTTTCATATGTTTTATTATTCATTGGTATTATTATTTTGCACAAAGCTCTGTCACTCAGTTTTGTTTCACCGTTATCTGTGACAACGATTTGCAAAAATATTAAAAAGTTCCAATTGTTTCCAAATAAATTAATTTCAAACACATTTGAAAAATTTGATTTCTTATTAATTTTTTTTTTATATAATTCCGGTAATCTGATTTCTGCTAAGGCTTTTAAATTTTTTCCATGAACTTGACCTGATTGTTTATTTACAAAAAAATGTTTACTAATGGTGTTTTTAACGCTACTTAGTGTGTAACTACTAATAATATTTTCTATTTCACTTTTAAATAACAAATTTTTTGAAAAGTTCGATAAATAATTAAATTTATCATCGTTGTAACGATGGTTAGGAATTGGTAAAAAGATGTTTTGTATTTCGTATGTTAGTTCACTGTTAAGTCCTTCGTCGAGGTCGATAGCTTTTATCTTTAACAAATCCTGATCTACCTTTAATGGCAAAAAAATTGACATTTTAAAATGATAAACTAAAAATTAATTAAAACATTTGGAACAATTAACTAAAACTTTGGAAATACAAAAAAATGAAATTTAGCAATGATTTGTAAAAAATGCTATTAAAATAGAAATTTTGTTCAATTGCAAAAAATAATGGTAGAGATTTCAAAAAAATAATAAATTATGCGCGCAAAAATAATTTACAAACAGGATTTTTATGGGCAAAAATAGTCTATTAAGCATATGCTGTGAGCAGAGATTGTTGGAAATTTATATCTGACATCTGTTGTTTGCAACTGATAAGTACTTATTTATTAGTTATTGTTTAGCTAACATATATATAGATCTGACAATACCGCTTTTGTAATAGGTTATTTTACAACTTTTAAATAAACTATTTACTTATTTCCGGTCAATGCAAAAATAAGAATTCTAGATGTTCACCATTCATATATTGAAAAATCTGCTAGTTATGTTCAGATAAATTAAAGTCTAATCCCGATACAAATTGCTGAAAGTTTCAAAAATGGATTACTCTAGTTTCCATGCCATGCATGTTTATTTATCACAACAGTTGCTTCGCATATTTAAATCACTTTAAATAATGTTGGCGTCACTTTAAATCAGAGGTGGACATGGGTTTGGTTAACCCATGGGTTGGGTCCAAATTGTTTGAAGTTGCGTGGGTTAAGTTAGGTTGGGTTGAATTAACATTTTCACTTTTATTATAATTAATTTATTTTTCAACTTTTTTTTATTTTAAACAAACAATTTAACTAGTTTATATTTGTCGCATTTTGTATCGCGGTAATATTGTTGTGTCTTTGGCCTATCGGTTTCTCTTTCTTTTTGTGATTGTTCCGATAAATCTCACATTAGGCCAAGTTGCTTAACATCTATACATTTTTTATGTAATTTTAGTACATCAGCACAGCAGAGTGTTGAAGATGATTACACTCAGCCAGCCAAGAAAGCACGCTTTGAACCTTTTGCTAACCTGCGGGATGGATGTAGCTCATCAACAACTGAAATGAAAAATTAGCTAGATACAAAGCAGTGTATGTCCCTGTCAACCACACCTCTTTGCTAGCCTACTGGCAAGACAATAGCAAAGACTTTATACTTTTCTCAAAGATTGCTAGACGAGTGTTATGCATCTCTGCCAGTTCAGCACAATCTGAAAGAGATTTCAGTTCAGTTGGTCGCACAGTCACAGATGCTCGATCAAGTCTGTCTGCACGGAAAGTTGAAGAACTGGAATTATTTAGATGGGGCTGTCGAGCTTCCATAATAGATATTGATGAAGTCTAGCCTTCACTTATTTTGGAACAGTGACTATGAGCCAAGTTAATGGCACTGACAATTAAAATATTTCTCACTTTTCTGATCATCGCACATGTATCAAAAAGTTTACGGAAACAATTTTCTATGTTATTTTAAAACGCAAATACTTGGTTTAGTGCACAACCAATATAAACATTGACTAATGATTCAAATGAAAAGATTCCAGTTATAAAGCTATTTAAAATTTAAATACAGAGCAAAATAAAGAAATTATCAGCACATAGATTTATAAATTTGTGCGTTACAATCTTTTTTAAATTGCCGACATCTTCCATCCACCACTTCTCCCCCATAGTTTATTATAGGTTTGTTTGATATTTTTCAAATTCCTAAATCGATGCACTTTGTTTTAAATTCATGTTAAATGAACGTTTACATCGAAGAAATAATTTTAATTTAAACTTTGACAATATAAAATATATTTTTATCATTTGATGAAATTAACATTGTTATTTGCAGAAGCATAGAAAATTTTACATTTGGTGAAGTTATATTTTTTAATAAAATTTCATTTTGACATTCAATTTTTTCATCTATTATATAAGTTCAAAAATTGAAAAAAATGATACCAGTCTAAAAAAAAAATCTAAAGACTCAAAATCATATTTTAGCTATTTGGTTTGTACAAAAATTAGAAATGATTTTTTAAACTTAAAACCTCTAATGCTTCTTCGATGCAAACTTCATTGCTATTGGCATTCGGTAATAATATAATTGGCTTGTTGTCGTTGATGTCAATAACATTTACAATAACCATCGTAACATCAAAGAACTGAGAATTTCCTTTATCGACTGCCCGTAAAAGAAATCTGTTGGAATTGGTTAATTTTTGAGTGAAAGAAATCCATAAAATGGTGGTTAGTTTAAGTATAAAGTTTCTGCATTATAATTTTACAGTTATTAAAACTATTTCTTATAATAAATTTCAGTTTTAATTTAGAAATTATTAATTATAAAGTTGCGACAATGAAATTTTATTCGTTAAAATTTAATGAGTATTTAATGGAAAATGGGCCACGAAACACTTGGTGTAGCAAGTTATGTTAAATACTTTCGTACTTGCAAAAATATTATTTATGAGCAATGTTAACATTAATAATGTATTTAATTGCATTATCACTGTATAGTAGCTTGTTTTTTTCAAGAATATATAAAAATAAAATATACAAAATGTATTTTCATAATAGTTTTTTTGTAATAACGAAACATTTACACAATAATTTTTACAACATTGTTTTTTAACAGCAAATAAAATATTCTAGTTACTTGTGTTGTTCGACACTTTCCCTATCAAGCGTTTTTACTATGAATATTTCACCAGTGTCTGGATATACATCAAAAAATTGTCCAGATATAAAATTTGAATTGCTTTCATTCTGTAGAAGTTTATATATATATATATATATATATATATATATATATATTTATATAGGTATGATGACGATCAAGTAGACTCACGATGCACGTACAAACTGGCACGTTCATATATATATATATATATATATATATATATATATATATATATATATATATATATATATATATATATATATGAAAATCACAGCATGTTCCGCGTTAGTTAGCTTCCTGTTCATTTTTTCGATTTTTCTAACGGTTGATCGTGAATCATTCTCAAGTTTCAAGAAACGTTAGAAAAACTGAAAAACAAAACAGGAAACTAACTAACGCGGAACATGCTGTGATTTTCTGATTTCATCAATAAATTGAATTTCACGGCTTATATATATATATTATATATATATATTTATTTATATATATATATATATATATATATATATATATATACATGTTCGATATATATAATATACATGTTCGGCGTTAGTTAACTTCATGCTTAATTTTTCGATTTTTTTAACGGTTGATTGTAAATCATTCCCAAGTTTCTTGAATTCAAAGGCAAAATTTTTGTTTATTTTATGTCATTATTGTCATTTTGTCGATAATTGTTTAGAATTAGTCAGAAACTTGTCAGAAAATTGTTCGATTCATTGTAGAGTATCTATATGCGGATCCTGAAAAGCTTTTGAAATAGGAAAAATTAACGTCTTGAAACGAGCACATATACACCTAGATATCACAAATTTTGATTGACTAATAGCGATCAAAAACTGTTCTGCTTTACTAGCAGAATTTGCATCATTCCAATCAATCAATCTTCGTTTAGCGTCCAGAGACCCAGTTTCCGAGGTAGGACGTTGATTTCTTTGCCATCAATTTTTTGCGCCAAATTAGACGATCAGTTGTATCCATTTCATTTAAATTTAGAGCTTTCATGTCTTGCTCGATTGTTTGCGACCAGGACTTCTTTGGACGGCCTTTTGGACGTGTGCCAGGTACTTCAACATCTGCAAGAGAAGTTATGGCACTGTTTCCACTTCGTTTGACATGACCAAACCACCGCAGACGGTGTTGTCGGCATTCGTCCTTTATATCATCTAAACCAGCACGACCAGGATTTCCGTTGATTTGATGTGGTCCTTCAGACTAATTCGTTGCATCCATCGGAGCATTTTCATGTTGGTTCGTTGAAGTTGTTGTTAAAGTTTGGTTGTCATTGGCCATGTTTCTACAACATATAAAAAGACTGGACGTATAACAGATTTTTTAAGTCTTGATCGTAGTGGGATGTCACGCCGCATCAATATAGAGGCAAGGAGATGCCATTTATTCCAGGCTGCACGTATGCGAGCTCGAACGGCAGCTTCAGCTGTTCCAGTACAATCTAGAACATCCCCTAGATATTGAAACGATGTGACTTTCTCTACCTTAATGGCTTCAAAAACATTGCTTTTTCGAATTTGTTGTTGTGGATTGATGCGAGCAGGACAAACAAAATTGAACACTTTAGATAAAGTACCAATTATTTTTGAACAACGTTTGTGACACCACTGGTTACACTGCTGACACATGATTGAATTGTTACCTACACCAGCTTTACAAACTGAACAGGGCCATCGTCCAGTAACTGTGGATTGGATGGGTTCACCAGTGTTCATTGTTTTGATTTTGCTGATGTTGACTTTGAATCCATGATTGGCGAGTCTGGTGTTCCAATTTTCAAACATCTGTGCTGCATTCTGCTCAGACGTGGCTGTTAAAACGATATCATCAGCATATATTAAATTCCAAATGTCACCAGTGCGTATCGGTTTTGTGATTTCTTCCATTACAGTTATAAATAACAGTGGACTGAGAATCGAGCCTTGGTGAACTCCAGCTCCGATGTCAAATGACAACGCCGATGTCAAATGCCAACGCCGATGTCAAATTTTTGAACAACGTTTGTGACACCATTGGTTACACTGCTGATACTTGATTGAATTGTTACCTACACCAGCTTTACAAACCGAACAGGGTCATCGTCCAGTAGCTGTGGATTGGATGGGTTCATCAGTGTTCATTGCTTTGGTTTTGCTGATGTTGACTTTGAGTCCATGATCGGCGAGTCTGGTGTTCCAATCTTCAAACATCTGTGCTGCATTCTGCTCAGACGTGGCTGTGTTTCCAACCGTTGTGCTGACAAAAGTCTTAATATTCGTATACATTTCCATCACATGTCAAACAAGATTTTCTGGAATGAGTTTTCGACGTAGACTCCACCTGATGGCTTCACGGGGAACTCGATCAAATGCTTTTTCAAGGTCTACAAAAATGTGTGATAGTTGTTGATGCTTTGTGAGGTACTTCTCTTGCAGTTGCCGAAGGATGTGAATTGCATCAATTGTTGAATTCCCCGCTTGGAAACCAAATTGGTAACTTCCGATTGTGATGCCCAACGTTAATCTTTTCTCAATGATTTTCTTGACAATTTTCAGGGAGTGTTTTAACAGACGTATACCCCGATATGATGAACAGTTCAATGGATCACCTTTGCCTTTGTATAGCGGGACTGTCATGCTATAGTTCTATTCAGTCGGCATTGAGCAATTTCTCCACATTTCACGGCAAAGTTGTAGTAACGTTTGGATACTTGCAGTACCAGATGCTTTGATCATGTCATTTGTGAGTCCAAAGGGCCCTGCTGCCTTTCCATCCTTCATAGCTTTCAGAGCTTCTGTAGGCTCCTCTACAGTGATGTCTGGAATCGGACCTTCGATAGGTGGAGCGTCAAAGTTGACATTGATGGGATTTGTTTCATTTAACAGACGGTTGAAGTATTCGCTCCACTGTAGCTTGATCTCATCTTGTTCAAGAACCATCTCATTTTTGTCGTTTTTGATACATGAGGCACCAACTGTCTTTTTTCGTACGCTTTGCTTGTTTTGCTATACGATACAGAGATTTCATTTGTTCACCTTTGCTTTTAGTGAGCCACTCTCTGCACTGATTTGTCAGAGCCAGTGCGACTTGACGTCTTGCATGGTTGTTCTTCTCACGGAATATTCTATGGTCATCACAGACTTTGATTTTCGTCATTGCTTGTATGCAGCTTTCTTTTCAGCTATTGCATTTTGTGTACTGTCATTCCATCACCAAGTGTCCCGTTCATGCTGACGTTTTGTAGCAGTTTCCCCACAAACTGTAGTTGCAGCGTTTATCAAAACGGTTTTGTATATACTCCAATCTGAACTGGCTTGCGATTAGTGGTCTAACTGTGTTGCGACAATCTGTTGAAATTTTTCTCGATGAATATTGCTTTTCAGCTTCCACGTTTTGATTCTCCGAGGCATTTGTTTAGACTTATGTTTTGACAGTTCGACAACCAGGTCTGCCACAAGGAGTCTATGTTGGGCGACTTATGATTCGCCAGGTATAATTATGACATTTTTGAATAGCCTTCGGTGTTGTTGCTTGACAGCGAAGAAATCAATTTGCGTGGCAGATGGTCCACTTTTGTATGTTATGAGATGTTCCATCTGTTTTCTCTCCATCGTGGCCATTGAGATCGCCTCCAATCAGGATTGTTCCAGATTTAGGTATTGTTGA